TTTTTGATGGATTATTCTCTAAATTTTGTATTTACAATTTTTGCCCATAAAATTAAATTAGTTGACGAAGAATTGTGATTCATCACCATTCATCACTTTTAGCGAGGACAGACATTGTGGTTATATATATCAAGACTGATCAATGATGATAATTGTCTTCACTGATAAGTTTCAATCGAGTTATAAAGAGACGAAGAGCCCGTTTAGTTGGAGGATTCGTTCTCTGATTCGAATCGTGGTTTATAATTCGCTACAATATTTTCTCTCATAAAAAACACACGTAAATCGAAAATGATTCTAATCTCACGATTCTAATCCATGAACCAAACGGACTCGAACTCTTTCAGAGACAACATTATCATTGCAATTATTACATGTAATCTACGAAGTGAACAGCCCCACATGTATCTCTTAGTGAGAACATCGTGATGTAGCTAAAAGTATAGTTATTGAAAGCGCTTATTCTTGCGTTTTGCTATAGTGCACAATAATAGCAATAGGTTTCAAAATTCAGAATTCTATTTGTCAATATGAAAAGTTCAGGCTCCATGTTGCTAGATACAAATAAGTTCAGGATGTATAAATGCAATAAACCCTTAAACAAGTCCTTTATCAATTTTAATATAACCAATACTGTTAAAGAACAAAAATTTAAGGAGTGATCTAAAAAAAAGTTTATAGACCAAAGTATGCTCATAAAATGGGAACTAATAATGTCAATAACTTTTATGAAAATCACATGATCCTCATCAAAATCAATTTCCAAAAAATGCTATATATGTTCTGTCAAAGTAACAATCGCCATCAGGTTAAGCCCAGCAGCGACCTCCTTCGGCGTATGCAGGTACTTATAATAATTTTTTTTTATATATAAAAAATTTGAAAATCTCATGATGTTTGTTTCGGGAAAGATCTAGGACTTGTGTTGCTACTATAAGAGGAAAGTTAGGCCCCGTTCATTTCACCGATTCGAGTTTTCAGTTTTAAGTTTCTACAGTAAAAAGCTCTCAGAAAATATCACATCTAACTTTTTCTGCTACAGTAAAAAACTCTCAGAAAATATCACATCTCAATTCGAATTGAAAACTCAAATCCACAAAATGAACGAGGCCTTAGTTATTTCGCACGTGAGTAAATCATCTTTCACCACCTAATTGTCCTGCTTTTTCCTGTCGGATGGGATTGTTCATGATTTTGGACAAAATTAAAGTGATAGGAATCACTATCATTGAAGATTCATTGCAACCGGTCGTTATCATGAACCGTGCAAGGATATTTCTGTCCATTCCATTTTCCATTACCTATATATATATGCTTTTTTTATATTTTCTTTGGTGTTACGCCCAAAAAGGCTAGCTAAGAGGATTTGATCTGGTTACTAATTACGGATAAAACTAGGAATCTTATGGTTTTTAACTAGGATATTTTGCACTTTTATCTCTAAATTTATAAAATTTTAGCAACTTACCCTCTAAACTTTTAATTTTAAAAATTTATCATCACAACACATGAAATTTATAAAACTGTTACGATATGCCCCACGTGTCAAACAAACAAACTAGCAAATGAATAAGAGGTTGGCACACTGTAATGTCTCAACCCCTCATGGGGTCCACCTAACGAGATTCCTAACATAGTCAGGTTTTATACTTATTACTTATATGTATAGTACCCTCTAGGTACGTAGTGGCCCTCAAGGTCAATTGGTACTAATACTTGACTTAAGAATGTTATAAGGAATGAAGTGTTAGATTGAAATAACCGCTAAATGTCTAGAATGAACAATATGTATGAATAACGAGTATAAGATCTAATTATGTCAGAGATCCTGCATAATAGACTTTATAGGAGTTGCGGCGTTACACCTACTGAGAGGGAAGTCTTACCGGTGAAAGACAAAAAAAAAATTTGTTTATTCCTTTATTTGGTATGAGAATATCAAAAGTGTTTTCTTTTTGCTACAAAAAAACGGTATTTGGTATGAGATTCTCATAAGGCTGGCTTCAGTGTGCGATGTATGCGCTAAAGGGAGACCCTTGCTTTCCCACTATAGTAATCTTGGTGGTATGATGATTCATATTTCATGAATGATTTATATATTTGACTACATTCCCTTGCCCTCTTGTGGAGGTGTGGAATCCTGTGGATAAGCTCACAGTTCAATAATGATGTGGTGGATAAGATTGAGATTCCCTCTTTTTTTTTTAATTTTTTTTTAATTTTCCAGATCACGCATTTTGAATAATTCGCAACAAGACAAGAGATATGATTCCTTTTAACCACAATTTCAAGTATTATTATATAATCAATGATATTGAAGCACGTCATTCACTTAGTACTACATTTCATTTGAAAAATTTAAAGTTCAAAAAATAACTTATTATATATATGTAGAAAACAAATACAAAACTAATCATAATGAGCACGATGATAAAAAAACATTTTACAATTTGACATAAACACAGACAGCAGCCAATGAAGTGAGTTTCTTATCTCACGCTATTAGTTCCATTTTGATTCTTCAATTTTTTTGATGGATTATTCTCTAAATTTTGTTTTACAATTTTTGCCCATAAAATTAAATTATTGACGAAGAATTGTGATTCATCACTTTTAGCGAGGACATATGTTGTGGTTGCATATATCAAGACTGATCAATGATGAAAATTGTTTCACTGATAGGTTTCACGACCACATGAGGTTTCAATCGAGTTATAAAGAGACGAATTCTTTCAGAGACAACATTCTCATTATTGCAATTATTATGGTTCCGTTCATTTCACCGACTCGAGTTCAGAATTCGAGTTTTATTACAATAAAAAGCTCTCAGAAACAGTCACATCTAATTTTTTTGCTACAGGAAAAAGCTCTCACATAAAGTCACATATCAACTCGAATTAAAAACTCAAATCAGCAAACTAAACGGGCCCTATATGTATCTCTTAGTGAGAACATCGTGATGTTCTAAAAGTATAGTTATTGAAAGTGCTTATTCTTGTGTTTTGCTATATTAGACAATAATTGCAATAGATTTCAAAATTCAGAATTCTATTTGTCAACATGAAAAGTTCAGGCTCCACGTTGCTAAATACAAATAAGTTCAGGATGTATAAATGCAATAAACCCTTAAACAGGTCCTTTATCAATTTTAATATAACCAATACTGCTAAAGAACAAAAATCACATGATCGCATGTGAAAATCACATGATCCTCATCAAAATCAATTTCCAAAAAATGCTATATATGTTCTGTCAAAGTATCAGTTTTTTATTATTGTCTCTCTTATTATGCAAACTATATTGCTTCGTGCTTTTTAGCTCATGGGCACCAACCACTACATTAAAATACGTAAAAGAAAGGGAAGAATGGGTGATATTTTTGGTTTGATTAAATATTGGATATTTTTTTATACTTTTTTATTTTTAATTCTTTGCCAACTACATTGCTTTGTGCTTTGTAGCTCATGCACACCAATCACAGTGCACTACAGTAAAATACTTAAAAGAAAGGGAAGCATGGGTGATATTTATGTTTTGATTAAATATTGGATATTTTTGGATGCTTTTTTATTTTTAATTCCTTGCCAAACATTGCTTTGTGCTTTTTAGCTCTTGCGCACCAACCACAATGCACTACATTTAAATATTTAGGCCTCGTTCATTTCGTGAATTCGTGTTTTCAATTTAAATTGAGATGTGATTTTTTAGAGCTTTTAACTGTAGCAAAAAAAAATTAAATGTGATATTTTTTTAGAACTTTTAACTGTAGAAACCTAAAACTAAAAACTCAATTATGTGAGATATTTATGGGAGATATTTGTGTTGATATTTATGGGAGATATGGGAGATATTTATGTTAAAACTAAAAGGAAAGAATGGGATATATTTATTTTAATATCTCTACAAGTAACAATTATGTGTTTGTTAAGCATCTATATATAACGCAAAAGCTTTCCGCATTCTCTATGCATTCATAGTTAATTTCACGAACCTATAACTATTGGTCAAGTAGTGGCCATTCACACTTCAAGGTTTGTTCTACTTCTTTAATTTAAAATTATTGTCCTTCAAGGAGGTATTATTGCACTCGTTCATTTACGACAAATATTCTTACCTCTCTATATATTTATGTAATTAATCTGCGTTTAAGCAAGTTTAAATTACGATATATACCACGTTAGTTTTTCTATCTTTCCGATCTATCCTTTTCTTTTTTTTCCTCTAGGACATATATATGTTTATAATTCTCACTCAGAAAATTTATAAGAGAGAGAAAAGATTGTAAAAAGTTTGGCGGGCATGCGCCTCATGATCAAATATCCATAAATTTATTCATGGTCCTCAACGATCCACATGATATTAATAACAAAAACGATATCGCCGACTATGATTATCTAACAGTTTAAAAATTATAATAAAAACCATCGAGACGCGGTTTATTTTGCGTACGTATTTGTATGCGTAAATTTAGCTCCATTGGTAAAAAAGACACAGATATGATCAACCATGACACTGAATATACGTATACATGTGTGTATATTTATGTATAAATATGTACGCACATACAATGTTGCATGGCACGAGACCAAGTAGAAGGCAGTGGGGGAAATGGAGGGTATATATGTAGTTATACAAATTTTCTAATTTTTTTAAAAATTTATACAATTTTTGCACCAAGTGCCCCCATAAATGAGATATCCGGCCTTCCCTTTCTTGTTTTTGCTGAAAATATTTTTCCTTTTTTTTCCTTTTAATCCTACAACTTTTGTTTTTCCTTTTCATTTTTTGCTTTACTCCTACAGTTACACGTTTCTCTGCCTCCCCCCACTTATATTAAAATTCATAATTTTATACTATAATGTATTCTTAATAATATTGATGACAAGGTTATTTTGCAATGATTTTAAACCATGAAAATTTATGGAGAACAATTATATTATGTTGTTATTTTAATTCATAATTGTTTTTAATTGCGCCATATGTTGCCATGCATGCAGACTATGTGGAGGCTGAAAGTAGCAGATGGGGGCAATGACCCTCACATATTCAGCACAAACAACTTTGTGGGAAGGCAGATTTGGGAGTTTGATCCGGCGGCAGGCACTCCAGAGGAGCGGGCGGAGGTGGAGGCGGCCCGCCTTAACTTCTTTAACAATCGCCATCAGGTTAAGCCCAGCAGCGACCTCCTTTGGCGTATGCAGGTACTTATAATAATTTTTTTTTTTTTATATAAAAACAATTTGAAAATCTCATGATGTTTGTTTCGGGAAAGATCTAGGACTTGTGTTGCTACTATAAGAGGAAAGTTAGTTATTTCGTATGTGAGTAAATCATCTTTCACCACCTAATTGTCCTGCTTTTTCCTGTCGGATGGGATTGTTCATGATTTTGGACAAAATTAAAGTGATAGGAATCACTATCATTGAAGATTCATTGCAGCCGGCCGTTATCATGAACCGTGCAAGGATATTTCTGTCTATTCCATTTTCCATTACCTATATATATATATATATATATATATATATATATGCGCACACATACTTTTTATGCATACTTTTTTACGACACTTTGGTGTTACGCCCAAAAAGGATAGCTAAGAGGATTTGATTTGGTTACTAATTACGGATAAAACTAGGAATCTTATGATTTTTAAATAGGATATTTTGCACATTTATCTCTAAATTTGTAGAATTTTAACAACTTATCCCTTAAACTTTTAATTTTAAAAATTTACCATCACAACACACGCAATTTGTAAAACTGTTACGATATGCCCCACGTGTCAAGCAAATGAATAAGAGGTTGGTCTAGCAATTTTATAATGCACTGCTTAGGAGAAGACAATCTATGTCCTTTCTTCTCAAGGTAGTTCCAGAGAATCAATCTATGCCCTCCTTTAGTCAATTGACTAGCTAGCTAGATATATAATAATTGCTCAAAGACATATATAATTGATCAAGCATGAACTAATTAATTATAAAGGAGTAAAGTAAAGTGCTATTTTAACTGATTCAATGGAATATAATTTAATTCACATGGACATGATGATCGTAAAGTAAGTGCTCATATACATCATTGGTGGATCCATTCTGCTGTATATATGCTTAATCATATATATATATATATAGGTCATGTAATCCCTAGTTAATTAGTATACTAATAGTTTCAAATTTACTTAAATTAATTGTTATCTATAAAATTACACTAATCATGCGCGCAGTTCTTAAGAGAGAAAAGATTCGAGCAAAAAATTCCACCAGTTAAGGTTGAGGATGGTGAAGTGATAACACATGAGAAGGCCACAAAAGCACTAAGGAGAGCTGCTCACTTCTTTTCAGCCTTGCAAGCTAGTGATGGACATTGGCCTGCCGAAAATGCCGGTCCATTGTTTTTTGTTCCTCCTTTGGTTTGTACATTTATTTGTTTTGCTAATTTTTTTGTGGTATCAAGCTAGTTTCTTTAAACGATTAATGGCACTGTTTAGTCCTTAAATTTTAAACATAGAGGGTATTTTAGTCTCTGAATTTTTAATTTTGGTATTTTAATTTGTGAGCCTTCACAGTTTGGTCCCTGACAGTAATTTGACAAACGATTTCTAAAATTTAACGTCAATAATCACATGATTTCATGTGTCCATCATGTGATAATTTAAAATTTCACAGAAGTAGTTATATTAATTATAATGTTTTCTATTTATTACAATTTCATTTGGTTGAAAACTTTAAGATTTTACATTCATCATGGCTATAACTATTTATGTAAGATTTTTAGTTGTTATGCTATAAGAATGTGATTATTGACATTAAATTTCAGAAATGATAACTTTTTATCCATTTTAGTATTAGCGAATAAAACTGTCAAAAATTAAAAATTTAAAAAGCGATATATAAAATTAAAAAATTCAGAGACCAAATTATCACCATATATAACCCTTCTTTAAATTCGGACAAAGTAGCTAACATATATATAGTACTTGTTGTCTTTGTGTAGGTCATGTGTCTCTACATTACAGGACACCTTAATAGCATAATCACAGCTGAGCACCGTAAAGAAATTCTTCGCTACATATACTATCATCAAGTAATTAACTATACTTGATCTTTTTTTTTTTTTTTTTTTTTTTTTTTTTTTTTAATGAGTACTATATAGTTCGTCTTGATTTAAAACATATTAATTAATTTTATGTTTTTTCGTCCTTTAATTTTAGAATGAAGATGGTGGATGGGGATTGCATATTGAGAGTCCAAGCACCATGTTTTGTACAACTCTAAATTACATTTGTATGCGAATTCTTGGAGAAGGACCTGATAATAATGGGGGCCAAAATAATAATGCTTGTGCAAGAGCTAGACAATGGATTCTTGAACATGGTGGTGTCACATACATTCCTTCTTGGGGAAAATTTTGGCTATCGGTATGCTAGTACTCAACATATAATTATTAATTCTATATATCATTAATTTGAATAAATAATACTTCAGAAAATTATTGGTTAATTTCTTCTCTTTTTAGATACTTGGAGTGTTTGAATGGACCGGCACCAACCCAATTCCCCCAGAATTTTGGCTTCTTCCTTCATTTCTTCCTATGCATCCAGGTGGGACACTTTTCTGCTTCATTTGTTTGGGGGTCTAGCCTGATTTAGAATCATAGTTCTTAATTCGTTACAGTATTTTTTTCTCACAAAAAATTTAAATTTTAAAAATCAAACTCATAAACTATGGTTCTGAACTCATAAACCAAACGTCACCTTCATTTCTAGTCCAACAAAATTAGCTTAGACATGGTAGAGAAGCTAGCATCTCAAAAACTTAGTTGAATTTTCATTTATTTGTTGTATTTCATTCATTCATTTTTTTTTTGCTCTAATATATATGAACAACATTTTGTCGTTCATCATACTTACTATATATTGATATGTCTTTTTCTTTTAAATAAAAAATACAGCTAAAATGTGGTGCTATTGTCGAATGACTTATATGCCCATGTCGTATTTATATGGAAAAAGATTTGTGGGTCCAACTACAACCCTTATTCTAGAGTTGAGGGAGGAACTTCATACTCAACCATATAATGAGATTAATTGGAACAATGTGCGCAATTTATGTGCTAAGGTGAGTACTGATTTGACCTAAATATATATATATATATATATATTTGCTCAAACCAATTCCAATAATATTGCAAATGATTTGAAATTTTTACATGTAATAATATCTATTTTATTGCAGGAGGATCTATATTATCCTCATCCATGGATACAAGATTTATTCTGGGATACTCTATACACATGCGCCGAGCCTCTTCTAACCCGTTGGCCTTTGAACAAATTTATTAGAGAGAGAGCTCTCCAAGTAACAATGAAGCATATTCATTATGAAGATGAGAACAGCCGGTATATTACCATAGGATGTGTAGAAAAGGTGATGAAACCATAAAAATATGACGTCATTTATTTAATCGCTGAATCATGCAAATATTAGTAGTACTCTTAGGGCTCGTTATAAGTATGAACCACAATGCAAACCTTTTTTTGAGACAACATATATCTAAGATGAGTGTTGTAAAAATACGTAATTTAAGATGAATGAGTGACCATACGAGAATGGATCGCATAAGGAATGAAGTTATTCGTAGTAAAGTAGGTGTAGCACCAATAAAAGATTAGGTGCGCGAAGGCCGCTTGAGGTGGTACGCGCATGTCCAACGTAGAATGCTAGAAGCACCAGTTCGTGCTTGGAAAGACATTCTTATACCTAATACTAGGAAAGGGATCAGGGGTAGACCAAGAATTACGTAGACCGAAGCAGTTAGGAAATACATTCTAGATCTAGGTCTTCAGAAAAGTTTAATTTTCGAACAGAACTATGTGGAAAAGTGAAATTCATATAGCCGATCCCAATTAAGTTGGGATTAAAGCTTGTTGTTGTTATTGTTGTTGGTACTATTTTCTCTTAAAAATTTTAAATTTTTTTTCAGATCTATAAAAAGAATGTACCCTTATTTAGCTGCTCATATTGTGCGCTATGTCATTTGGATAGGTATTGTGTATGCTTGCTTGTTGGGTTGAAGATCCAAATGGGGACTATTTTAGAAAACACCTTGCCAGAATCTCAGATTACATATGGGTTGCTGAAGATGGAATGAAGATGCAGGTTAGTGGAAATATTGACTATAAGGGCCCGTTTAGTTCGCTGATTCGAGTTAAGATATGATTTTATGTGAGAGCTTTTTACTGTAGCAAAAAAGTTAGATGTGACTGTTTTTAAGAGCTTTTTACTGCAGCAAAACTCGAATTCTAAACTTAAATCGGTGAAATGAACGGGGCCTTAGTGTTTTATCTTCTATATTTTTATTTTAAGGTCCATGTTCACTTGATACTGGAATATTATAATGCTTTTGTGCATCATTTAGTTTTTTAATAAATTGATTTTTTTTAAGTCAAACTGGAACACGACATGCTAATTGTGTTTTTTTAAGAGATACCAATAATGTTTTAATAACGATAAACATAAATAAATATAACCAATTTATCCTTATTTTAAAACTAAAAAATTATGTGCATAAAAATTTGTGCAATAACAGTGTAAAATTATTAGGAAGTTTTTAAATTTTAACCTAAATAAAATTCTAGTTCGATAAAAATCAACAATTACATATTATGATGGTTAAAAAAAGTTGGAAAAATATATACATCTTCTCTATTATAATTCTAGATGTATAGTAAAGAGTATAGAGATACACAAAGAAAAATATTTGTGAAAGTAAAAAACAAAAAACAAAAAAGAAGAAGAACATAAATGAGGTATTTAAAGAGAAAATTAATGAAAAACAAATGATGGTTAAAAAAAGTTAAAAAACTATACACATCTTCTCTACTATAAGTCTAGATATATAGTAAAGAGTATAGAGATTCACAAGGAAAAATATTTATGAAAGTAAAAAAAAAAAAAAAAAAAAAAAAAAAAAAAAAAGGGGTTTAAAAAAAAAAAAAAAAAAAAAAAAAAAAAAAAAAAAGAACATAAATGAGGTATTTAAAGAGAAAATTAATGAAAAACAAATTGGTTAAAAATAGTTGAAAAACTATATACATCTTCTCTACTATAAGTCTAGATATATAGTAAAGAGTATAGAGATTCACAAGGAAAAATATTTATGAAAAAAAAAAGAAGAACATAAATGAGGTATTTAAAGAGAAAATTAATGAAAAACATTCTAATGAGAAACAATGAAAAATATAAGATTTAAAAAAGAAGAAGAAAAAGAACAACATTTAAAATACAGTTAAAGAAAACAAAGGGAGAAAAACTGAAAAATACAATTTTCTATTTTTTTTTAATGTAGAAAATACAATTTTCAAAGAACAAAAGGAAAAAAAAAAAAAAAAAAAAAAAAAAAAAAAAAAAAAAAAAAAAATCCGCAGGCAAGCAAGCACACAGTTGAGGTACGAAAACCTTTAAAGCTTATCCGTGCTTTTTTAAGGGATGCCAATAATGTTTTAATAATAATAAACATAAATAAATATAACCAATTGATCATTATTTTAAAACAATAAAAATTGTGTGCATAAAAATTTGTACAATAACAGTGTAAAGTTATTAGGAAGTTTCTAAATTTTTACCTAAATAAAATTCTAGTTCGATGACAATCAACAATTACATGCATAATGATGTTGAAAAAAAAAGTTGAAAAATATATAGATCTTCTCTACTATAAGTATAGTAGTAGTAAAGAGTATAGAGATTTACAAGTGAAAATATTTATGAAAGTAAAGAACAAATAAAAGAAGCATAAATGAGGTGTTTAAAGAGGAAATTAATGAAAAAACATTTTAATGAGAAACAAGGAAAAATATAAGATTTAAAAAAGAAGAAGAAAAAAGCACAACATTTAAAATACAGTTAAAGAAAACAAAGGAAGAAAAACTGAAAATACAACTTTCTTTTTTTTTTTAAATATAGAAAATACAATTTTCAAGGAACAAAAGGAAAAAAGAAAAGCTTACCAAAAAAAAAGCCTTGCAAGCAAGCACGCAGTTGAAGTACCAAAACCTTTGAAGCTCATCCGTGCTTCTTTATATCATATAATATAGCTAGGTGCTAAGTGTGCATAATAAAATAGTAGCAAAAAAATGATTAATTAATCCTAGTAGTACTATAAAAGAGGATAATTAAATATTTTGATGATTAAAGTATATAATTAAATGCCATTGTTTTGCAGAGTTTTGGTAGTCAGGAATGGGATACTACTTTTGCAATTCAAGCTTTGCTTGCTAGCAATCTGATTGATGAAGTTGGTGAAACACTTGCAAGAGGCCATGACTTTATAAAGAAATCTCAGGTTGAAAAGCATATTTTTATTTCTGAATTGTCAAGAATTTTTTTTGTTTTCAATGATAGTCCATTCAAATTGATTCTGTAATGTACAAAAAATTGTGAAGGTCAAAGAAAATCCCTCAGGTGACTTTAAAAGCATGTATCGCCACATTTCTAAAGGATCATGGACATTTTCTGATCAAGATCATGGATGGCAAGTTTCTGATTGTACTGCAGATGCTTTGAAGGTATATCTTTAGGATCCGTTTAGTTCGTTGATTTGAGTTTTTAATTCGAGTTGAAATATGATTTTATGTGAGAGCTTTTTACTGTAGTAAAAAAGTTAGATATGACAGTTTTTGAGAGCTTTTTACTGCAGTAAAACTCGAATCGGTGAAATGAACGGGACCTTAGTTATATATACTATAACTATATTTGAGTGGCTAATTACTAGCATTTCATCTACTCATGTGTTTAGATTCGAGCTACTGTTTAAATTTTTTTGCTACAGTATTTTCTCTCATAAAATTTAAATATCTATTTAATTTATGAACCAAATGGGATATCACGTATCTTGATCGATGTTATATATCTCAATTCAATTTTCTGATTACATGACAGTGTTGCTTGATATTCTCATTAATGCCACCGGAGATTGTTGGCGAGAAGATGGAAGTTGAGAGATTATATGATGCTGTTAATGTTCTACTTTCTTTACAGGTTAGGATTTGTTTTCCAAACAATACGTCTTGAATAATATTGTAAAATAGTGATGTTTTTAAAAATACAGCTCCAATAATAGGCATTTTTTTTAAATTACTTCTAACGCTTTTCTAAAATCCCAAAGCTGTTACTCACTAGTTTGGGCCCTAAATTGTGTTTGGTAAAAAATCTTATAGAAGTAATTACATAAAATGCCTATTTTTGAACTTATATTTTTAAAAATATCGATTATTTTACAATATTATGAGAATGCCGATTAGTTTTTTATAAGGCATATTTTTTTTCCGGGTATTGTCCTTATTTAATATTTTCGGTAATATTCTTTATATGGTTAAGTTTTATTTATTTGTAGACTGTTTTTTCTAATTATATTTCAGTTATTTTACTGTTTTTTTTTCATTGAATAACGTTTTGTTTTGGTTTTTCATTTTTTTCCATCCGAGTCATTCAAATTTCATATTCATTCTTTTACGTAATTGTTAGATCATTGCAGTAATGAAAGGTTTTCGCATCTATTCATGTTTTCGAGTATGTTGATTGTTTGATCCATATTGTATTGTTTTTCAGCATGTTTTGTAGTGATGTCACAACTAAACTAATGAAGAGATTTTTTTTTTTTGTGTTCCTCTTATATTCTGTTTTATAATGATTTGTTATATATTCTTTTCCATTATGATTTCATCATTAAAATAATGAAAATATCTATTTTTTGTGTCTTATATATTCCCTTATTTCATATATAATTTAATATTCATTATTCATTTTTATGATGATGGCTTATTTTCATGTCACGAGTAAACTACTTAAGTGTTTTTTTTTTGTTTTGTTATCCTTTTGTTATATATTATTTTCCATTACGATTTCATCATTAGAATAATGAAAATATATATTCTTTATGTCTTATATATTCCCTTGTTTCGTATGTAATTTAATATTCATTATTCATTTTTATAATATCGGTGGCTGATTTTCATGTCACGACTAAACTAATGAAGATTTTTTTTTTTGTGCTCCTTTGTATCTTATATTCATTTTCATAATGATTTGTTATATTTTCTTTTCCATGATGATTTCATCATTAGAATAATGAAAACATTTATTCTTTATGCCTTATATATTCCATTCTTTCATATGTAATTTAATATTCTTTATTATTTTTATAATGATGGTTGATTTTTATTTAACAGAGATGTAATTTAATATTCGGTATTCATTTTTATAATGATAATTGATTTTTATTTGACAAGTTTTTCATTTTGTTGCAATGGATTTTCATTTTTAGTGCTTTTTTTTTCAGAGGATTAAATTACGCACCGTTGTTTTAAAAGTTTTTGGTGCATTCCTTTTTTTTTTTTTTTTTTTGTAATTGAGAAACTTTCCTTTTCTTAATTGCTGCCTTTTTTTTTTAATTGTTGATTTTGATGATTTCATACGTATTTCGTTCTTTAATCATTCTTTCCCTTTCTTTCATTGCAGCAGGATATAATTGTCTTTATATATGTCATAACCCATAGTTTTCCAAAAAAAGAAAAAAAGTTGACATTTTTAGAAAGAAGGTGCTACAAATCGGTATATATGTAAATAACCCAATCTAAAAAATACTTATAGAATAATTATAGAATAATTTTGAGAGAATGTAGCAAATAGTAGATTTTTAAAACTAAATTAAGTAAATAGTAGATTTTAAAACTATTTAAAGTAAATAGTAGTTTACATGGTAAATGTATCATTTACCACGTAAATAGTTTTTTTACAACTAGTAAAAACATTTGTTTACATAAATTTCATTTTCGACCAGTAAAAAGATTTTTTCCACCTAAATAAATGGTTCATTTATGACTAGTAAATATATTTTTTTTCACATGAATTTCTTTTTCAACCAGTAAAAAGATTTTTTCTACATAAATAATGATTTTTTACCACGTAAGTTATTTTTTACCATTCGTAAATGAATCATCTGCCATGTAAATGATTCATTCACCATATAAATTGCTATTTACATCAAAAAAATTTAAAATCTACTATTTATTTAATTTAGTTATAAAAATCTGTAAAAGTCAAAAGCTGGTAAAACCCTACTTCTACTTCCAGCTTATGTGGTCAGCTTCTAACATTTTTCAATACCCATTATACCCTTATTAAATATACATAATTCCAATAAAAAGTTTGTTGATACCCAATTTTATACCATGCCCAATCTAAGGGTCCAGGCCCAACCATAGCGTCACACGACGTTATTGGCCTCGCTTCGTAGACCCAAGCCACGCTCAGAGAACTCCCGTGGGTTGTTGTTTGGTGGGTCATGTGTAATCAGGCTCATTTGTCATTTAGTTCGATCCAATTTTAATCCCACTGGGGGGGGAGGGTTCAGAATTAATCGGATTAAATACAAAGGTGATGAAGAATTCTCAAAAGCTTTCTTCTCGTCTTTTTGGAAGCCCAGAACCCCTAAGTCGAAGCCTTAGAGCATCTTCCTCTTCGTCAAGGTTGATTCTCAATGTATTGACTCCAACGGAGGTTCTACACGCGCCAGACATGCCTAATGGAGGCTCCCTTTGTGGCAAGCGTGTCTCCTAGAGCACCCTCTTCATGTCCAAGTATTTCTAACGAAGTCTTTTCCATGTCAGACTTCTCTAGTCTCTTGCTACAGAGACTTGAGGTTCTTCAAGCTCTTCAAAGTCCTTCAAAACCTCCAAGTGTTGACAACCTTGAAAATTTTTTCAAAACACTTTTCAATCCATTTCCACCACCATCTCAAACTCTTCAAAGTTTCCTCATACATTTTCCAGCAACGTTCAAGTCTTCATTTTCAAGGTCACATCCGCTTACTGTCGGAGCAAGTGCTCTGAGCGTCATTCTAACTCCCAGAGCAGCACGTGATGCTCTACTTCACTCTCACTCTCCTCCAAACCTTATCCACCACTTGAGTCGCCATGTTCGCTCCTGGAGCAACCTGCGCTTGTCTCCAGAGCACTGCTCTATCAAGGCACCTTCAGCCTCCTTTTCTCCATCTCCATTAACTACTTGGTTGCGCCTCCCACCATTCTTCATCTCCAGAGTTCTTTCATTTATTTTTTGCAGATTCTCTAACGTATTTTGCAGCGCATTTTCGTCATTTCGGCAACAAAGAGGGTCCTAGAACACACGCCCTTTGACCTAATTTGGGCCTAACTGACCCCGCTTCTTCATCAAAGGTCCCGCCATAATCATCCACTTGAAGCTCGGCCACATCCAATCCGCTTCTGACAAATCACGTGCTTACACGTGTCAACTCATGACACATTGACCCTCCGAATCTACCGGACACCAACAATGTCCTTTTACAAAACAAATGCTTTTCCTTGAGCACAACAACTTTTTAAAAACCCACAGCATTACCAAACTAACCCTTCAACTATTTGCTTGCTTGCTTGCTTTTTTTTTTTTTACTTTGCTTTCTAGCATTTTGTTTTAAATTATATTTTTCAGCTTTTTTTCCTTTCCATTTTCTTTAATTGTATTTTAAATATTTTTTCTTTTTTTTAAATCTTGTATTTTTAGTTTTTTCCCATTAAAATATTTTTTCATTAGTTTTCTCATTAAACCCTCATTTATTATAATTCTTTTTACTTGCACAAATATTGTCAGTTGTGCATCTCTATATTCTTATTATGTATCTATACTTATAGTAGAGAAGATTATAATTTTTCAATTTTTTTTAACGATCATCATGCATAATAAAAGTTGAATTGTTAGCATATTTATTTATTTTTTTTTTTAAAGAAACACACAAAAAAATGTTTGTATTGAAACAGTACTTATCATACTTAATAATTTTAAATAATGTGAAGAAAAATGCAAATGGCAAAGTGAAAAAGAAATTTTAATAACCTTATAGGCACGTCCCACAAGATAGTATATATAGAAACATGAATCTTTAATTTTGAATCTTGTTAGAACAAAAATGGTGGCATTGGAGCTTGGGAGCCTTCAGATGCACAAGCTTGGTTGGAAGTAAGTAGTCTTATAAGTGGATTTTATATCTTATACAAGTTTATACTTTTTGGATATAACTAATTTATTTTCAGGTGCTTAATCCGGTTGAATTTCTTGAAGACATTGTGATTGAGCATGATTATGTAGAATGCACTTCAGCAGCAATACAAGCTTTAGTTTTATTTCAAAGGCTATATCCGGGACACAGGAGAAAGGAAATTGAAAATTTTATAAACAATGCTATTCGGTATCTTGAAGGCAAACAACTTCAAGATGGTTCTTGGTATATATATATATATACTAAAATTTATCTCATACAATATCACTCACTACAAGTATTTCTTTTGGCCCTTTTCTTTCCATATGATACTTTCTAAAAATATCTAAAATATATATATATATATGTAGGTATGGAAACTGGGCAGTTTGCTTCATATATGCTACATGGTTTGCACTTGGAGGAATGGCAGCAGCTAGTAAGACCTACAAAAATAGTGCAACCATACGCAAAGGAGTGGAATTTTTACTTGGAACACAAGGAGATGATGGTGGTTGGGGAGAGAGTTACCTTTCATGCCCAAAGAAGGTCACTTTAGTTGTCAATAATTATGGTTTTGAGTGTGGTTTTTTATGGTTTTTTTTTTTTTTTTTTTGTTTTACTCGTCCATGTATATATACACAAACACACACACATACATATATATATATATAGGATTTTTAGTGTTGTTAGTCCATAAATTACTAACTGTGACAATTTTGTTCCTAGATCTTTTTTTTTTTTTTTT